GCCGTGAGGCTGCCCTAACATATTACGAAGGTGGTTCAGATGAGATGAAGCAGCTGGCTAAGAAATTCTTCGAAGCCATAGACTCCGACAGAGATGGGAAAGTCAGCATGAAGGAGTTCGAGGATTTCCTGCAGAGGAGCACAAAATGTCGCAATTATAATTTTAAACCAAGCTTATTCACTAAACTAGACAACAACGGTCATGACCTTATTGATTTCGAAGAAGCAATTGTCTTCTATTACATCATTAAATGGAGGGCAATATTTTGTCATGAGTGCGGATCATTTGTGGAGGGGTTGTATTTTACTTGCGTCGAGTGCTTCCGAGATAAATGTCGTGATACCTACAATCTCTGCTCCACCTATTTTCACTCTACAAAACAGTGCTCTGAGCACCAACTTCTTGTCGATAATTATGCAATGCTCCAAATGCGAAGACAGTCCACGAGCATTGTCACGACAACTGGTAAGAACAAGCAGCAAGAAGAAGAATTGGTATGTCTACTTTTGATTTTCTTTCTTGTATTTTCATCTTAGCTAGCTATTCCTTCTTCTTCTTCACATTCTCCTTCTTGTAGGATTCTCTGGCCAAACCAGCTCCACAAGTTGTAGAAAAAGCTAGCTTTGCAAAAAAAGCCGTCAAATTTGCTACCTCAACCATTGCCCAAACTGCTAAATCCGCAACTACCAGTGCTATGAGGTCGGTAGGCATCAAGGCCCCTGCTGTTGAGTCTACCATGCAAATGTATAGTTATTGGTGTATAAAAATTATCATTTTTTTAATTTGATATTGGTGGTGTTTTTTTTTTTATTTTCTTGAATAATTTGAATTTCCTATTATTGATTTATATGTATAGTTAAAATTATCATATTTTAATCTGAATTTCCTATTATTATTGTTATTATTAGATATGAAAGGAATTGTATATATGTATGAGTGAAGTAAGGGTTAAATTTGTCATTTGTGTCAATATAAGCATTTATGAGAAAGTAGCTTATCAAACATTTCCACCTCAATAAACGCTTAAAAACATAATAAATGATTTGATAAGTGGGTCACTAAACAACTTTAAGTAGATATTAAAATAAGTACTTCTAAAAAATACTTATGCAACAATTACTTATTTTATCAATCACTTAATCATCAAACGAGACCTAAGAAATTTCCAATTTGCTGTGGAGCTTGGTATCACCCGGTCCATCTAGTAGGCGATGCAATAATGATAGTCACATGGTGTATATAGCTGAGTGTCACGGGACTAATCGATGAGGCCCCGTGCGGTGCTCGATGGGGTCAAGAAAGCCTACAAATGCAAGCAACAGCACACAAAAGGCAACAAGAAGGCACACAAATTAGACAAAAGGCAACTTGTATTGCATTAGTCAGTGGTAAGCACAAGCACACAGTACAATGTCGAGGGGATCTCGTGCTTAACCTTTACACGCTTATGAACTCACTCGACTACCTACCTCCCCTCAAAGAGTACGTTAAGCTTTTGGGGGAGTGATAATAGGAAACATCAAAAGGATGAAAAATCATACTAGGTAATTACAATAACGTCATTGGCGGTCGTCCCTTACAAAATACATGTATAGCCGACCTATGACACACATGCTAACACCATGAAGGCACGCGGTTGGCACTCTGATGGCTCACGGTAGGTGCTTGATGGCGCGGCGAAGGAGTCACTTGTGACATTCTCCCCCACTCAATTCGATCTACGCCCTCGAAGATCGGCTTCGACTGGTCCTTTAGAGTCACTGTTGCGGAAGGAAGGTTCTTCTGCTGCTCCCCGAACCGGCTGTCGTCCAAGGCCGAGGTGTATAGTTTGGTGGCATGGTTGGGTTGGCCTGTTCTGTTGGGGTTTCCTATGGCTAAGTCCTTTCCTGGCGACCTCAAGGTATGTTAATGGCTAATTCAACTTGGTTATAGGGTAGGTTTGGGCCAGGTAAGGGTCAAAATGATGTTTTGGATTGTTGGGATGTTGGTTCCCATGAATTTTTCCCCAAGGGTGACTCACAGGGCTACTACGTGATTCCGTCCGAGGGATGGTGTGAAAGTGGTCCCTAAGCGGCTTGGGTGGCACTCGCTTTCCCCTGTGGTTGTGGTAGTAGGTGAGGGTGAACTTGGACACGGCCTTGGGTTTTCTGCTTTGCTTGACGGTTGTCGACGCGCACGAACTCTGTTGCTGGAGAGGTGTAGATGGCTGGATGGCCTGCTGCTTCCTGTTGCTATTGAAGTTGTTGGCTTGAGGGGCAGCTTCTTCAGCTAGTGGAGTGGGGAACTTCTCTGCTTCCTTTATGTTGGTGTTGAACAAGGCTTCTTCATGAAAAAGTTGTAGTGCAAAAACTTGCTTCCCATGAACCCCAGTAGAAGTCATAACTGGTACCATGCAAGGGGAACGCTCGTCCAAGATGCATAGAGAGTTGATATGAGGCAAGAGTGTTGCTTCTACTTTTGTCATGAAGTCCATTCCCAAGACAACTTGGAAGTCATCCAGGGGTACCACTGAAAGATTAATCTTTCTTGTCCACGGCCCAACTTGGAGGTCAACCCCACGAGCCATGCCTTCAATCGCCTTGGCCCCGGAGTTCACGGCCTTGATCCACCCTGTCTCTTTCATAGTGTTCAGATTGAGTCGCTTGGCCTCAGCAACTGAAATGAAGTTGTGGGAGGCCCCTGTATCAACAAGGGCTTGAGTCGGCTTCCTGCCGAGGAGGATGTCTACATACTTCAGCCCCCTTTGGGCTTTCTTTGGCCTTCCATGATTGGCCTTTTTCTTCACCATGGCGTTGAAGAGTTGAAGGGCGCCCACTCTTGGCGCCTGCACAGACTTTTCCTCATCACTTTGCTCGTCATCACTGAGCTTGGCGACAAGGGCATTGATCTTCTTCTTGGTTGGGCAGTTGTGAACCAAGTGATTTCCCCCACAACGGAAGCAAGAAATTGGGGACCCAGCGGTTCTAGGCTTGTAATGGTGCTGAGGGCCTTGCTCTCCTTGTGGCTTCTTCCCATAGTCTTGTCTTGTTGGCTTGTTGAAGCTGGAGTTGTCGTACGAAGGATGTGGGCGACTTGCTCCCCCACTCAAATTATGGGAACGCGGGCTTTCTGGCTTAGGGGCTTCTTCATTTGACAAGCTAGTCTCATCGAGTTGCTCTGCCACTGCCATTGCTGTGGCGAGGTTATGTACATTGTGGCTTTGGAGCTCTAGTTCGGCCCATGGCTTCAGTCCGTCCATGAAGTTGAACAGTAGATCATTGTCGGACATGTCCATGATCTCCAAGGTAAGGGCTGAAAACTCTTTGACATAATCGTGGAGTGAGTCCCCATGCTTGAGTGCTTTCAACTTCTTCCGCGCCAAGTACTCCACGTTCTCTGGGTAGAATTGTTGCTTTAGTTCTCGCTTGAAATCAGCCCATGTCTTAATGGTGCACGTACCCCGTTCAATGTCTTGGCATCACCTGCGCCACCATAGCATAGAAATGTCAATCAAATACATGATACTGTACGAATTTGCATTAGGTCATCATCAATGCCAGCGGCACGGAAATATTGTTCCATTTGCCACAAAAAGTTGTCAAGTTCTCTAGCATCTCGGGAGCCGGCATAAGGTGTGGGCTCCCAAACCTTCACACGAGTAGGGGCCAGTGTTGTGGAGGGGCTTGGAGTGCTGGCCACTAATCTCTCGAGGAGCGTCATGTCTCCTCTTAGTTCATCTAATTGAGTCTGGAGGTTAGAAGGAGAGGCCATGGCTACTTTCATGGCCATCCATTAAGCTCTCATCTCATCCTCCCGGTCTTGGATGTCGGATCGAGATGAGCTCCCTTCTTGTCGGGATGTTGTTCCAAGGACTTCCTTGAGGGTTCTTTTCAGGACGTCTTGGACCTCGTTCATAATGCCATTTAAACGGGCTTCTAGCTCCACCACAGAGCACTCAATTGTTTCCACATTCAAGTGGATTTCTTCTACTCAGTCACACATCTCCCCAACAGTCACTTCACAGCGAAGGATGCGTGTATCGAAGGCAGCAAGCGTGTCAACTGACTTGTCGAACTTGCTTGTCTTGGATGTGCGACCCCTCGGGGCCTTCTTTGCAGCGGCTTCATCGCCTAGAGCCTCATCGGTCTCTCTAGCATGGGCAAGGCCATGCCTAATATCGTCAGTGATTTCCTTGTTGTGCTTCATTGCGCCACCACTAGTGTTGCTATGCAAGGGTCACGGGCGTTGAGGAGCAACCTGCTTTGATACCAACTGTCACGGGGCTAATCGACGAGGCCCCGTGCGGCGCTCGATGGAGTCGAGAAAGCCTACAAATGCAAGCAACAACACACAAAAGGCAACAAAAAGGCACACAAATTAGACAAAAGGCAACTTGTATTGCATTAATCAGTGRTAAGCACAAGCGCACAGTACAGTGTCGAGGGGATCTCGTGCTTAACCTTTACACGCTTATGAGCTCACTCGACTATCTACCTCCCCTCAAAGAGTAGTTAAACTTTTGGGGGAGTGACAATAAGAAACATCAAAATGATAAAAAATCATACTAGGTAATTACAATAATGCCATTGGCGGTCCCCCCTTACAAAATACATATATAGCCCACCCATGACACACATGCTGACACTATGAAGGCACACGATTGGCACTCTGAAAGCTCACGGTAGGTACTTGATGGCGCGACAAAAGAGTCACTTGTGACATGAGTGCAGCAGATTTTTAAGACGCCTTGCAAAAGAGACTCGGTCAGCCACGCGAGCGGACATCACAGTTTACCTTCGAAACGTGGAACCAGGATGTATCGAATGATTGCAATTCTGAATTCTGATCGAACCTGATACTTAATCAAAGGTATTATTTTTCCAAAATAAAAAATCCGGTGGTCAAACCTGATTGGTCCCACAGTGAGTACTTAGCAGAGGTGGTATGTCACCTCACCTTTCGCTTGTATCACCCTTCACCAATATAAGTAAACTCGGTATCACCGTTCCCACAGTGATTGGTCCCGCTGTAGCGATACCGGATCTGCTCCTCACGCAGGGCGCCTCACACGCACATAGGTTGAAGGTTGAAGGTTGAATACCCAAGGAGACTAGACTCCAGAACACGGAGTGACCGACCGAACGGAGTTACGGAGTGAGAACGTGACCCAGACTTGAACCAGACGGCACCCTCTCCTTCTCCTCACAACCCCCAAATTGAACCAGTTTACTTCCACGATTATTTGCAGCGGGCTAACCACAACAATCTCTTTTCTTTGAAACTTTTTATCGAACATAGATGTACAAACAACACCTCTATCTCTCCCAGTAAATTTTCCGTCGAGGGAGTTTGAATTAGAGTGTAGAATCTGTAAACTGGTTTCCACCAACGAAATAATGGCCGAAGAAAAGGAGTCTACGTCGATTCCACTAAGTCAAGGTGATGGTTGCGAAGATCCCGAAGATCCTGCAAAGTCTCCTCCAAATTCTCCCAACTCGTCCACTCGTAAGGTCAGCCTACTCTCATCATTTATATTTATTCTCTTGTTTGTCAACTGCAAAATAAAAAAAAGTTCTCCAAATTTCGTCTTTCTTTACGTTTGTTTGTTTAATTCGTTTCAAAAGCCCATGGATTTTCATGACATTCGGATTTTCGAATTGAAAAAATTTATAAATCTTAAAGGTATCTTATATTTTTTTATGCACAATTCGATTAGTCATGGCACATCTTTGCTGGGGTTGGATAATGCTGTTTTAGTATTGTTGTTTTCGAGAGGCAGAAGGTGAATTCGTGGGAACGAAAGGTTTCCTTACTACTGTGTTCAGAAGATCTTGGTAATTTAAACCAACAGATTCACGGCATGCATCGTACTTACAACATCAGTTTAAGAACTGCAGGTTGTACTTGGTCCATATGTCCGGAATTTCGTTGTTAACAACTTAACATTGTATCTAATTGCACTTTTGAACCGATATGAATGAAAGCTTTTGTGCGTTTGCACCCAAAAAAAAAAAAAAAAGAGGCAGAATGATATGCGATCAAATCCGGAAAAAAAAATAATACGTGGCTATAGATTATGGATATGGTGAGAGTAGCATCACAATTATCCCTAAACACTCCGCCAATTCGTTGAATTTGGATTAAATTGAGCAAAATCTAAATCCAATCCATAAAGGCTTGTGCCAATTGGTTAGGTTCTCAGCTGGTGTGGGCACCTAGGTTCAGATGCAATCTGAACAATTGGAGGTGGACCTCCCTGGAGATAGGTTGGGAAGATCCTCTTCAGTGTGTTTGGATCCAGATTAGTAGGATTCAAGAATGTGTCTGAGAGAGAAAGCTGGTTCTTTTCTACCAAGTCTTGCTACTATCTTCATTGGTGACTTCAGCTGGTGACATGGAGCTGGATCTTGAGGGTCCAGGCCCCTTCAAAGTCGATTCCCAGCACTTAACCATGGACCACTTTCTTTAAAATAAAGAAAGAAACTAAAAAAAAAGTTAATTACTTTTTAACTTATATATAGTAATAAAGTTATATAAATATGAATTTAAAAAAACCCAGATAGTTGGGACACACACCCCCACCCACCATCACACACACACATCGGATGGGAGTAAATCCAAATCCGATCCGAGTATGTAAATGAATCATCCAAATCTGAGATAATTGATCAGATGTTGGATCAGGTTTCCAACTTTTGGAATCCATTGACAACTCTACATATATGCCTGTAAGAACCAAAAAAACACATGTACAATATAAGCTGTGACACTTAAGTGGCATCAAAAAATGATGTTGGTCCAGTGATCCCTAACACTGTCATCTGGGATACCTGATAGATGTCTACATGCTCCAGCACAGTGCAAGAGTCCATTCAGCTTTCCTGGAAGCTCCTCCAAGGATGAGGCCTTTTCCTAGAAAAATTCAACTATTTCTTTCCTTCCACACTGTCCAACTGACAGTGCAAAGTAATGAATTTCAAAGGATCTTCCCCTTCTCAGAAAAACCACCAACCCTCCAAGTGGAGAGGGGCACTGCTAGATTGGGTGGAGCAACCCACTGCAGATGAAATATCTGTAGAAAATGGGCCTGTATCTGGTGAGTGAGTGGACAATGTATAAGAAGATAATTAACAGACTTCTGACTCACCCTGCATAAACTGCACACATTCATGATGGTCAGACCTTTATGCAGCAAGTGGTCAATGGTTAGGATCTTATTGCAGATTGCAATCCACAAGAAAAAAGTATACTTTGAAGGTGCCTGAACTCTCCAGAGTCCAGATCCAGCTCTACATCACCAGCTGACAGTCACCAATGAAGGCTTTGTAGCAGGGTTTGGTGGAAAAGAGCCACACACATTGAAGACTCATCAAGGAAGTTCACCTCCCAATTGTTCAGATTGCATCTGAACCTATGTGCCTGCACCGGTTGAGAACCTAACCAATCAGCACAAGCCTTGTAGAATAAGGCTGGAAAGGCATCTCTGAGGGGTTGGTCAGCACACCATACATCTCTCCGAAAGAAAATTTTCTTTCCATTGCCAGGCTGTAGTCTAATATTACTGACAAAATCCGTTTAGCTTCAGGATTCCTTCCCATGGACCATAGGATTGTGAGAGTGCAAGTCTCCCAATCCATGGGAGCTCTACCATATTTGCATCCAACCACCCGCCTCCATAGCTGACTCCTCTCCTAGTGAAATCCCCATAGACATTTGCTAAGGAGAGCCTTATTCATGGTTTTCAGCTGCCTACCTCCTTTCTCCTTAGGTTCACATGTCAAACAGCAATTAGAAATATGCAGGAAAATTTCATAACTCTTGACGAAAGTAGACAACAAATTGATGCAAAGTAACTAAACAGATGAAGAAGAGATATGGAAATTCTCTTTCATGCAATAGGTTACCTTTACCTACCTTGTAGCCCCTCCTTTTAGGCAGGTTGTAATGTAGCTTGATTGTAGGAGCTGTTGTGGTTTACAGTGTTGAAGTGAAGAGAACCTGAAAGAAACCTTCCAGAACAATAGGTATTTATCCATAGTACTGTTCACACCACTATAGCAACAGTATAAATAGCAAGGCAGGGCAATAAGTTAAGACAAAATTTAGAGATCAAATTGTTCTAGAAATTCTTCTATTTATTATTTCCAGAGAAAAAGCACTTCAGTAACTCAATAAACCAAACCTAAAGCACATACATAAGATCCATGTAAGATCCTATTGATCCTATTGATACACTCAACTCCTTATCCCACTTCTATTAGGGTAAAACCAAGACTCTGCTACAATCCTAAACTAAATCATCCTTGCACAGAAAATTGAATTTTACTTTGGCCACCAACTTGCGTTCAAACTTATAAATAAAGTAACTAAGCAATTGACCACACCCTAAATAAATTTGGAAAATGTTCCTAATTAAAGTAGGATTCAGAATAAAGCAAAAGTACCAACCTTAAGCAATAGAAATTACTAAAGGACTGTTAGTACTTCTAGAACTCTTATTTAAAAATTTCTAAACTAATACATTCTCTAAGGATTGAGATTGGTTGAAAAACAAAACCATGATGAAAGCTGATTCTCATTAGCATCACCTTTCGAATCCAAGAATATCAACCAAGCATCCTGCAACAAGGCTAGAGCTCAGCTTTAACTGAGGTTCCAATTTCCAGTGTATGAAAAAAAACCACATGTTGATTGTTAAGCTTTATAGCATTGGTGTTCGGGGATCCAAGTTCTTTTTTCCTTTTTTTTTGTTTCAAGGACTTCAAAAAGAGAAGGATAATTTTCTATTTGAGTGTTTGCAAGTAAAATCTTAATGGTTTTCAGAAGAAAGAGGGAAAGCATTAGCACTTAGCAATACTTGCAGCTACTGATAAGAGAAGTAATTCATGCAGATGGCTAAGAAAAATGTATTTGTGCAACTTTATTTGACATAAGTTATTCTTCTTCTTGAACACCTTATTTGTTGTTTTGATATCTTTTTTTTTTCTTGGGGGGTACTTGTCATGTTGATATCAAATACAGACTAACCTGCATTAAATTTTATGTTATTTTCTCTTTTGATCAGGCTTGCTATGCTGTTCTCCAAAGTTGGGTCTCAAAAAAGTTCATGACTGGATGGTAACAAGCTTTATTGTTACTGGTGGCTTTGATTTCTTATAATTTCACTTTCCAAGCCTAACTTTAAGATTTTATATGAAATTGCAGTGTAGTTCTTTTCCCTGTTGCAGTTACATTTTTTGTTACATGGTGGTTTATCCAGTTTGTTGACAGTTTCTTCAGTCCAATATATGCTAGGCTTGGCATTGACATATTTGGTACGTATGATCTTTTACCCCTCTGATGTTCTGCAATGGTGAAGAACAGGCCTTGCTTCCCTGATGAAACAATAGATGAGTATTTTTATAGAGCTTCAAGAAACCAAACTTTATTGTAAGAATTATTAGGAATTTAGGATATACAAAAACTTCTCTGTGAGATGAAGGAGGGATGCTATTTGCAGCCTCATAGGCTCCTGTGAAAGCCGAAACCTAAGTGGGGGTTCCTCCACCAGTTGTCCTTGGGGGTGATCATGGAATGGGATGGGCCCAAGATGGGCTTAGCACCTATGATAGGAATTACAGTAAGTAGTACATGAAAGAACTATTGCATGGGCCTGGGCCGAGCCAAGCTTGAGTTTGGGCCTATGACATTGAAAATGTGACCACCCAATGCTCATGGATGTCTCTTCTTATAGGTGAGGGCAAAGCCTTCATTCCCATAGTGCTTGTTCATTCAACACTCAGTACTTGCTTGGTCATTGTCCCACAGTGCTTAATTAAATCTTTGCCTTCATCTGTATAAGGAGTGGTAGTGTGCTACCCAGAGAGAATAACCCATCAACTCTTACAAGTGTTGACTAATTGACATGTGTAACTCATGAATATATGTAATATCTATTAAAATATTTATATAAAACATTTATTATATATTATATTAGAAACATAATATTATATAATAAATATTATATATATAATCTAAAATATCACCCCTAGTTATCCTCTTAACATATCACCTTGTCCCTTTGATGTAGGACCAATTCAGTTCTAGTCCTTATAATGTTGAATGATCTTCTTTGATCAGAATTTTATGACTGTTGATGGCTGTAATGGCTGTAATGGCTTCTTGAAGGAATAAGAGAGAAAATAGGGATAGAAAGAAGAAAGAAAATACCTGGAATCACTCACATGGTGCCTAGAATCACTCTTGGGCATGGGAATCACTCACCATAGTTAGCATAAGCTGAAGAAAATTCATAAACTTCATTCCTCTTTGTGTAGAACGTCCATACATATTTATAGACTCTAAACTCATAATAAACCTAGGGATCAAACTGTTAGACTCATAATAGTCCTAGGAGTCAAACCGTTAGACTCATTAACTCTAGTAGAACTCAAACTAAGTTGTCATTATCCTATTTCAATTCAAAGAAGACTCAATAACTCTAATCCTACCTATGCAATAACCCTGAATTTAAACATAAATAAACTATAACTAGACAAATTAAACCCCATCATTGGACCCCATAGAAAATTGCAAAATGACAAAAACACCCCTACTGTCCAAAAATACATAAAATTTCATAAATTCCAATTTTGACTCTTCAGCTCCTACATCACCCTTTCACCAATATCAGATCCCATAGGCCTTGTTATTGTTCTGTGGCTTGTCCTTTATTTATTATTTTCTTTAGAGCAAAATCGTTCTGCTATCTTTAGATAAATGCATAGGGGCCATTGTATGGTGTAACAGTAATATCTTGGGGCAAAAAGTGTGAGAATGTGGATTTGAGTATGAGAGTGGCCACTTTGTGCAAGAAAATGCCGAAGTGTCCACCCCTCCCAAGATCCTGGATGGCTAGGGGCAACATTGGTTAATGCCTTAGTGGCCCTTTATAGTTATATAAATGCTCATCTTTATTGTTTAAATTATAACATCTAGTTCAGGGGTTAAAATCTTAAATCTGCAGGGCTTGGATTTGTCACATCTCTAGTTTTTGTATTTTTCGTTGGCATATTTGTTTCATCATGGATGGGTGCCACTGTCTTTTGGCTGGGAGAATGGTTTATAAAGCGGATGCCCTTTGTAAGACATATATATTCAGCCTCAAAGCAAATCAGTGCAGCTATTTCTCCAGGTACCATATTATCCTAATTTCCCTATTTTACTGATTTTCACATATTCATCTTTATAACTTTTGCCAACTATTGAAGTTATTTCATATCAGTCTTGGATGCTTTGAGGACTGCAAGATATCACTGCCATTTTTTACTATGGCATGACCTGCCAATTGTTAGTATCTCATTGATGTTCTTGATGCCTCACTAGCATGAAATGGTGTCTCCCATGTATTCCAACAATCAATTCATACCTGCTTGTTTATGTAGTCACACAGATTTCACCTCTTCAATCTTCAAGGCACAAGTTACTATAGTGTTGTGATTATATAAACTGTAGGACTCAAATGAATGAAAAAACTACTTGAGAGAAACTGGAGTGTAAACTTTAGTAGATCAAATATGATGCCTAGGCTATCCTGGAACCTAGAGTTGGATTCATTAAGGCTGTTTTGGTTTGATAGAAAATGAGAGAGAAACTGAAAGTTACGGGGAAGCTCTTAAGGCATTTCACAAATTTTATTAAGAACTTTTCCTCAACTATCTGTTTCTCTAATTTTATATCAAACCAAAAACAGCCTAAGAACAATGAAAGCTTAATCTGAATGTTTTTTATTCTTTTTGATCGGTTCCCTGAGTGTGAATTGTGAAGGAGAAAGTACTGATGCACTTTTTGGATTATGTAGAGATGATTTCTGAGTTATTATAGTGTTGGAGTTGAAGACAAGAGGATAAATAAGAGAGAAAAAGACAAGAAAGAGAATAGGAAAAATGGGCAGGTTGAATAGAATGTATGATTGCCCATTTATTTTAATAGATCAAATATATTGGAGAAGACACTTCTAACCCTTTACAATAAAGTTATGACTGGACATGTACAAGTAAACATAAATTACCCAATTATTCCCTTACATACATCTAAACAGCAGTGCCTACATGTTTGAAACTCCTAATTAAATATTGTACCCCAAGTTTCATGCCAAAATGTCTCTCTCATTGTTCCTGCCTCTACCTTGGCTGAAATACCAATGGTACCAAATGTTGTCCTAGTGTATATTAATAAATATTTCTGATATTGTTATTGACTAAAAGAATAAGAAGATAACATTTTCTTTCCTTTCAGATCAAAATACCACTGCTTTTAAAGAGGTTGCAATTATACGTCATCCACGTGTAGGTGAATATGCATTTGGTTTTATCACATCGTCAGTTGTTCTTCAGGTAATTGCTAGATGCATGATCAAAATTCATGTTAAGATGATACTTGAGTCACCTACAATGCTTTCAGAATTTTTTTGTTGATTAATCCATGACATATTATCATATCCTATCTACCACTTTAGCTTCTCTTTGGTCCAATTATTTTTTCATTTAAGTATGCTGTTGTGGAATAATTTGTTTTCTGAATTTATCAGGTCACTTATTGTTCTATCGCAGTAATATTGAAAACAATATGCTTCCTCCTCCTCGTCATCATCATATAAGCCTTATCCCAACTGTATGGGGTCAGCTACATGAATCCTGTTTTGCCATTCAGTTAGACGATTCAGGATCCATGACCATAAGAGTTTGGCAAAAGTTTTAGTTTCTGGCTGCCAACTTGATGCAACCCTCCTCCTTTATCTGCACTTGGGACCAGCAGTGTAAGAAGTTTGCACTGGTGGACTTTAAGTCAGACGTCCATTTAGAACAATTTGAGTTAGAAACAAGTTCTATATCTGGTTTTGTACATTGTTCTTCTATCAAGGATGATCAACACAGTACTGTCTATGTTGATCTGGTAGCTTAGTGAACAAGTTTAGTAATTTATCATCTGTGTAGGATTGAAATGGAGTTGCCTCTCTCTAAGCAAAAGGCAATGCATACATGTATTTCAGTAAATAAAGATGATCTTCCTTAATTGGAGGAGTGGTCAGAAATCATGAAGGTGAACTCTTAGTCAGCTATTGTAGACCAGCTGAAGAAGGAAACTCTCTGATGGATGAAATGTTAGCACTTCTCCATCTTAAATTGAGTAATATAGTGGGCTGGAATGATGTATACATAGAAGGGGACTGCCATGTAGTGATCAATTGACTAGCAGCTGAAGACCAAGGCCCATGGAACTTAAGGCACCTCATAAGAGAAATCAGGCTACTGGTATCCACTATGAACCACTTATTCAAATGGATCCCCAGATCAGCAAAGAGTTTAGCAGGTTTCCTAGCCATGGAGGGAATTAACAAAACTTTGCTGGACTGGGGTATGCCTAGTCCTGGGAGGGACTTGTACCAAAATATCACTTAGGCTCTGTTTGTTTTTCAGTAAATGGGGAGGGGAAAAGTTGGTTGGCAGGAAAGTGGTTGCTGTTGACCAACTTTCCAGTGTTCACTTTTCAGTTAGTTGTGGGCCCTGATAACTTTTCCCTGGGTATCACTTACCCCCACCTTCCAGGCAGTGTTTTAAAAGCGAAAGGTGCAAAAAAAGCACAAGGGCCATTTTGTGCCCAAGGCACAAGGCGGGGCCCCGCACCAAAAAATTAAAAAAATGCAAATTATTAAAATATTAAACAAATTATTAATTAAAAATGTAAACTTAAATTTTAAAATAAATGCTTGAGAAAAGCCTATTATCTCAAACTAAAACACATAAACATAACATGTAAAACATATTTAAAATGAAAATTTTAAAATAAAATCAAGCATAACATATAAAACATATTCAAGCATGTAAACTCTTAATCTCTTCATTTTTTTCCCAATTGCATTACTTCAAATAGCTAATATGATGTTAAGCATTATTCATTCTTGATTCTAGGAGTCGCCTTTGTACCAAGCCCCTCGGAGCAAACCCAAACAAGTCCATATTAAGGTCTTAAATTCTTAATCCCTATAAAAAAGAAAGGTTTTATAACTTTGTGTTTTTAAAAAATACCTTTTATTAGGATGAATGAATGAGCATCATTAGCAGCAGATATGGCTGCAAAACACAAAAAAAGGGAAAAAAAACGCACAGATTTTTAAAACGTGCATGCCTGGGCTGAAACGCAATGCATGCCAGGCTTGTGCCTTTCGAAAATATTCTGCCTGGGACCTAGGCAAGGTGCATACCCTAAAATGCACCTCGCTTGTGTGCCTAGGTGCGCTTTTTTAAATCACTGCTCCCAGGTGGGCAAATAACCTACCTACCTGGGTAAAAAGTTGACAAGACACCATGGGACAAAATTGCCCCTTACAATAATCACATATTGTGGGTAAAAATGGTCAAAAGAACACTTACCTGGGAAACAAAAGAACACAGATAAATGTACTTAACCAGATAAGTGCATTTACCCAGATAAAGGGCTTAACAGAAAATGAGCAGGGCCTTAAAGTATTGTAAGGTGTTGTCGGCTTTGAGTTGTTTGTATATGTACTGTCATGCTTCCAATTTTTTAATCTATGGTTCTTCTCAATATTAATATTATTTCTGCTACTGAGGAAAAGAAAACAAAGAAGATGATCTTCCTTGTTTCTGTTGGTATGTTAACCTGCAAAAGGAACTACTTGTTTAGGCTCAGTTCAGGAATGCATACAATAAGAAATAATCACATCCTCTTGAACTCTGTTAGTGTTGGAGGCATGAACCATAGAAAAAGTGTGCCAGTTTGTTTCCCATCGTAACATTCCAACAGAAAGGAACTTCCAAATAAAATTTGTTTCCAACAAATAGTGAGAGGAAGAAACGTCCAAATATTTTTTTGATAAATAAACTTCCAAATAAATTGCCTTACTAAAACCGTGTTGCAAACCATGAAGAAGATTCATAAGGGGAGATAGGATTTACACGTGTTGGTTTAAATTTGTCAACATTCAATTCATCTTCTACCAAAAACAGCATTTAATTCAGCTAAATGTTGATATGTGCCATAGAAGCCATTTGAAATATACCAAATAAAATACAAGTGACATAATAGACTAGAAATCAACTAGGCAAACAATGGAATAGAAGTAAGAAGTGCTTTTAATGTCTGATGATGTATATTACAAATTAGTCCTGCATTTCATGAAGCCCATTGTTCATTAGTATACCAATTTGCACACACATTAAATGGCCTGAAACTGGGAATGCTCTGTTGTCTTGCAGTAAACATAGAGCTTGATGAAATATGAGGTTTTATCATTGTGCATCTCATTGGCTCAGTTTCTTTTTTGTTTGTTTGCTTGCTTGCTTGTTTGTTTCTGGTTGCAGAGAGATAATGGTGATGAAGAGCTCTGTAGCGTTTATGTCCCTACAAATCATCTATATATTGGTGACATTTTTCTGGTTAACTCTAAAGAGATCATAAGACCAAATCTCTCTGTTCGAGAAGGAATAGGTGTGTTTTCTTGTTTTATTTGTCCAATATTGTTTTGCTGCCATGGTTATTTTCATAGTTGCTAGTTTCCAGTTTCCAGTTTGTGTTGTGTAGCTCCTGACTCATGTTTAACTAAGGAAAAATATGGAAACAATAGGTGTACACCAATGGCTTCCTTGTTACAAGTGTCACATGATTGCCCTTTTTTCCCTGAAATTTTCTGAAAGGTCTATTATTGAGTTAGGCTGCGATCAGATAGGGATCAATGCAAAGCTAATCTCAGATCTTTTGCACATAGAGGTGATACCTGATTTGGTACCTAGCTTGGGTTGATCATTTCTTAAATTTTGAAGGGGTCCAGGTCCAATGCACATCCATTCGCATACATCAAACCTGATTAATGTCAATATGGAATTATTCTGATAACTGATACTTACTGGATCATGACATGCAAATCCAAACGTGCCCCCGCCATATGTAATACCTGAGTAATTACTTTGATTAATCCATTGGTTGACTGCGAGAAGGATGACATATCAGCCAGCCCTCCTCCCCTTGGAATATCAGTATTCTACTGAGAAAGAGAATAAACAATGAAATGTAATGTTAATGACCAGCATTAAAAAAAATTTTGAGAAAGGAAAGCATACTCATATAAAGAATCATGATTTGCATTTTCCAGAATATATATATATATATATATATATATATATATATGGAGAAGTATTGATAATAAAACTTGAGGTGTTAACTTGATCATGAATGATCATCCACTTGTTGCAGAATTTCAATATGCCAATTTTGATAGTCCTGTTGGTTATTCTGCACTTATGCTTTCTGGTGGCAAGTTTGTAAATTTATTTTAACCTCCAATAGAATACTGAATAAGTTTAATTGATCTATTGAGATATGCTTAATGACATTCAGATATTACTGCTACTGCCCTATTGACCTATTCCACACTTATAATTTGTATTTCTTAGTTCTAGATCTCTTAATTTCTCATTTAATCCAATAGCAGCCCATATCTCTACCATTATAGGCATATGTAACCTAATCTGGATGCCCTTGTTAATTACTCAGAGATCATAGTTTCTGGAGGTATGACAATGCCACAACTAATCTCTCCTCATGAAAGGATTCCTCGTCAGGGAGATCGGATCCCTCTGAACAGAATAATATAATAGCTTGGATTACATATCTGGTAACTCTGCGGCAACCATGTTTTGAATCATTGTACACATCAAGCTCACTATATCATACTGATGCTCTGTTAGTTTCTTTGTGGCAGGTTTACAGGGTTAGCCTGTTATATTATTATCCAGTCATTCACATTTGTAATTGATGGGATTTCCCCATTCTAGGGCTTCTATCTTTTTCTTTTCTTTTCTTTTCTTGTGCACTTTCTGCATCTGCTGGATGCTGTATCTTGTACTAGTGAAGATGTGCAATATATGTTGGAGATCTGGTTCTTACTTTGGTGTTGCATCCCCATTGTTTTAAGTGTTTATATAGTAATATTTGAACCTGTCTCACCTGTCACCCCCGGTCCGGTGGTACCCCACCATCTTTCCCGGAAGGAGAAAAACGAAATTTTATTATTGAATTATGGATTCCTATGTCTCTCAAGGTTTGTAATCATTTAGGATCTCACAATTCCATATTTGACAATAGTGCTTATGTGCTGGCCACTGCAGTTTTAAGCAAAGCAATCCACATATGCAGTTATATGGCCTCAAGAGTCTTCTCTTATTTGGTTCAGCTTTCATGAATCCTACAAGAAACCCAGGAAAAAATCATCTTTTCTCCACCTTTTTGCTGTGCGACCATACAGTTGTTTTGAAATGAGTGTTCAACCTTTGGGACTGCACCTCAACATGGAAATTCTGTACTTGTTTAGGGTTAAGACAGAAAATCAGTGGTATTAATTCCTGCAACCCTCAATCCTGGGACCAATGTCAAAACCAATAGACTTTGTAATGGACTTGGCTAATTGTGTCAAAACCTTTACTGATAATCATCTCCCAGTTTAATTAGTCTTGCTCCAGATTTCCAGGCAGAAATATCTCAGATAATATAATCATGGCGAGTAAAGTCCTCTATTCTTGCTCCGGTAAGTAAAGGCTGGATGACATTGCAACTAGGCCTAAGCCTGCAATGTGGCGATATAGAGATTTATTGAGGAAAGTCAATTGGCTCACAAGAAATATGACATACCTCTCTTTGGGCGGAAAGATAAGCAAATTCCTTAGCGGATGGACTAGCTAAGCAAGGGGTTTTAAGGGATCATTTGTTTTGGGCTGCTATGTAATTTTATTTCTGTTTTTTCTGTTTATTCTTGTTTTTACTTGATGTAATAAAAGGTAACAGCTTGTGCCTCTTCATGGGTTTCCTGTATTGCCTTAATTTTTGGATTAATAAATTATTTTCATTTATAAAAAAAAAGGTTTAGGCTAATATATGAAAAACCAACCCGGAACTGAAACTGCTTTGGCCATCAGTTTCTGTGTCAATGGTTTGACGGTTTGGTCCTTACGGATCACCCAATGGCACTTTAAAAATTAAAAAATCAAAATTTGGCCTAAAACTATTGTTTGGCTCGAGTGGGTAAGGGTGTATTAGACTGGATTTGGTCCAATCCGGTTCAGTTCAATATGAGTCCATTATAAATGAACCAGGTCTAATCCAATCCAATGAATATTTTAGACCATTTGGACTGGTCCAATTCAATGTTTGGACCGTCCGATCTGTTCAAATTTGTTTTAATTTAGATTAATTCTAACCCAAACTTGGCCCATTGACACTTATATTCTTATTTTATATCAACGAACCAGATATTGGGCTCAATCCAACCCAATCCAATATAAATATTCATTATGGATGGACCAGGTCCAATCCAATCCAATAAATACTTTGGAGTTTGGACCATTAAGTCTGGACTGGTCCAATTCAATGTCTTGTTGGTCCATCCAGTCTGTCCAAATTGATTTTGGTTTGGATGGCATTGGCACCCCAACAAGTGGGTTGACGATTTGGCTGTCTGGATCAGCTGGTTTCTGGCCAACAATTTTGGGGGAAATAACAGTTTGGGGCTGGAATGGAACTGATACCCTGACCAATTTCCAGGCCAAATGTTCTGACCGTCTGAGCAACGACCGTTTTAAAACATTGGTTCAGGCTTATCACCATTCACCTGTTAGATGAACCAATCAATCGTGACCTCAGTTTATAGCTTCTTAGGCAACCTGGAAACTAACAACCAGATCAAAGCTCTTGGGTGATGAGTGGCACAAGCTCTGGAAATTTTTTAGTCTTGTTGAAATACTTTCCTTCTTGAAACGTTGCAACTTACAAGGAATCGGATCACATTTTGATGCCACTTCCAGGATGATTTAGAACAATGTACAATGTCTGTTAGGATTGAGCGGGGTAAACAATCTATCTATTTATCTATATATATATATATATATATATCCAGTTCAACTGAATACAAAATGACAAAAAATCTATCTTCAGTTAGAACTCTCCCTCCTCCCATTTTTGTTTCTTCTACATCGAATCCTACCCCACAAGCACTAGAGAGCTCAATCCACACCAACGTCCGTCAATGCAGAAGCCACCGGCGGTACATTCTTTGGCCATTCTTCTTCTTCTTCCTCTCCTTTTTCTTCTTCTTACAAACCTAATGTTTTTTGTGGTTTTCCATTTTCAACAAATCGAAGAACCGCAACTCACACCTACGGTTAGTTTTCATCCCAACGAAGGTGAGTTACCCAAACCCCTAGTTATTAATAATTTTTTCCCCTGATTGTTACTTCAGAAGGAGAGAACTGAGAGGATAGATAGATTTTTGTCATTTTGTATCTGGTTCAATCGGCCACTTCAGTTAATGGCAAAAGGCTCATTTGCATTACATTGTATGGCACCTGACCGACATGGAAGCTTTTCATTGGTGGGTTTACATGTTCTGTGAATCCGGACTCCTAAAACACAGCAGTGAAGAAATTTTCTCATTTTTCTGAATTTTCTATTTTTTATTCCATGTCATTTTCTGAACAACCAATGAGATTTACTCCTAAAATCTCTCTCTCTCTCTCTCTTGCTCCCACACATTCCCAATAACCTAAATAATATCATCTCCTAAAATTTCTCCTAAACTACCTCCTCCACTATCGCTCACTTTCTCCTAAATTATCTCTAATTTAATAGATATTTCTCTTCTAAATTATCTCTAATCCAATTTAATAGAGATTTCCATTCATAACGCCATCTAGAGTCAATTGCTAGCTTCTAGATTGGGTTTTGGAAAATCATGCTTGAGTTACCATCCACTAGCTAGATATAATATTTTCTTTTGTTGGAGTTAGAAAAGAAAATGAACATATGAAAACAAAACAAACAGGACTATAAATAGTTTAGTGATAAATCATCAACCGTAAAAAACAAAAAAGAGAAAAATATGTGATTGAGAATCCAACCAAACAATATATACCATCAAAGTGACATGATAAAAAAACATTGGTACCTAACTAATGTTGGTTTTATTTCTTTAAATTGGAATTTGGAGGTGACCTTATCTCTGCCCCTGATGTCCAATCCAGAGATTGTTATTTAGGAGGCGTTCTTTCTTTTGGATTTTGAGAGGAGGGAAAGTTGGTCAATGGGATTTTGGTTCCCATTGACCAAGAATCCCATGTTCATTTTTTAGATTAATGTGGGGAAAGGGGAAAGTTTATTTTCTTGTACCCATCTCCTAGGTGGGTAAATAACTTTCTCGCCTAGGAAGAAAGTTGTTAACACTTGAATGTGACAAAAATACCATTTTTAATAATGGATTTTTATGACTAAAATGGTCATTACCTTATTTACATGAGAAATAAAAGAATATGGGTAAATGCACTTACCCGGGTAGGTGTTTCTTAGGAAAAACTTACCCAAATAATTAATTGCATTTACCCGGGTAAATAAATTACCGAAAAGCAAATGGGGCCTTAGAACCATCCAATTCCCACCTCCAACCTAAAATTGTTGCTACCCCAGTGACTCAAGAAGGAGCCTACCTCCTACAAAAGGGTTGTAAGGACAACTAAAATAAACAACACACACAAATGAAAGAAAAGCTCTTTAATAAGCAGAAACCAAGAAATAAAAACAAAGTCAATAGCATTGCCAAATAGATGAAACCCATCATAGTGTAGGTTGTTTGATCCAATTAGTTGTCTAGTGAGTTGTAAACCAGTTACCTAGAAAAATGTTTAGTGAACAAGGAATGATTAATAGGCACCCACTATATTGCTTGATTAATCAAATTGTCACCAAATTAAAGTCATCATTTTTCATCTGGAAAAGATGGGAAAGCCAGATTTTTGGTGTCTCATCCTAAAGCACCAAATTCCCATAACATGTCTTCTTTAAAATGAGCACAGAAATTTGGGAATCAATCCTAAAGCACAAACTTTAAAAGGTGAAGAAAGATTACCAACGGGGAATGATTCGATTCCCAAATGTTTGCTAGGTAGGATAAAATGGCGTTGCTTGATTCTTGGTGGTGTGGTTCAATCTGTTTATTTGGCAAGAGCATGTCATCGTGTTGAAGCATATATATCTTGTGCATGTAAATCTTTGTCAAGGTGATAGTGCATGATGGCAAGGGGCAAGAATGGCAATCAGCTGTTTGTTGCAATACAGAAGCAATTTTTAGAATCAAATCTACATGTGTGACCATAGTTATACTTCCACCTATGAATTGACCACAATCACTTTGTGATAATTGCTCTTATGTTTTTAAGTTTGGAAGGAGTACAAATACAAAAAATGTAGAGTGCTCATCGTTGAATAGGAGACACTCAAATAACAAAGTCCAATAACTCTAGTTGGGCAAAGAGGAGCTATGAAATCATTTATCTTTCTTCCTCTTAGCTTCCTTCAATGCAACACTATTGAATTTGAAGTGCAAGTAGTGAGTGATCCTCAGAAGGAATGGGTTGTTTTTAAATGTGTTCAATGCCATATGTTATTTCTTTATATTTGGAGAATTTAGTGAAACTACTTGAAGCCTCAATTTATAGTCAAACCTCTCCCTTCTTTGTTGTTTACCTTTGGAGAAACCTGCAGCTTTTGGGGATACCAAAAGCTCCTCACTTCATATAAAACAAATTGAAAGAAAACCATAAAGTTCAACCATTGGACCCAAAAATTAATGTAGATTACTTGAGTTGTTCTTAAGAAGTCATCAGATTGATTATTTTCAAATAAAGCATATATTTGATTATTTTCTATTTTCATGCAGGATGTATGTCAAGTAAGAGGGATTCCCCTTTCTTAATGACTTGAATCAACAGTTAAGCCTTAGCAATGACCGGAAAGATTGAGAATTTATATCATTCATACTAGTGCTTGAGTAGTTCTAGATTTTATATAGGATAGATGTGCTCATCAAATGATATGAGCCATTAGATGTGATTTGCACGTAAGATTGACCGTTGGAT